GGAAGATCATTAGAGATCCTACCTAGAACTAAGGAGAAATTTCCTGACAGTGAGAACAATCAATCAGTGGAACGACTTAAGAAGTTATGAGTGTTCCATCACTAGAGGCTTTTAAGAAGAGACAGGGCAGCCACTTGTCCAGAATGATATAGGGTCACCTCTTCAAGCTGCAGTTGGACTAGAAGACCTACAATATCCCTTCCAATGCTGTTATTCTGTTTATAATCTATGGAGCTAAGTGGTGGTGGTTCATTTAACTCTTTCCCACATGCTGCTACTATGATCTAGCCAATCCAGCAGTCATCATCAGAAATGATGAAGGGGATCCTTCATCATTTAAGAATTCATGATGAATCTTTCAAATTATGCAAATTGTACATACTTATGTTTGAATTAAAGTAATATTGAGCTGTGAAATGTGCAAACCCATGTGCTTTCTTAGCAAACAGCCATGTCAGCTCTCATTTGCCAATGCTTATACATCAATATATTATTAACCTGCACAAAAGCCTCTCTTAAATATGCATTGCAATTGCTGTGTGGCTGGAATCAGTTATATGTTCTATTCCCCTTTGAAGGTCAAACAGTTTATTGAGATAACTTGACATTTTTGACTTTCTTAAATGCTTTCAGTAGCTCTTTTGTTTGAAAGTTGACAATTATTCAGCTGATTCCCAAAACAAGCACCTTGTAGACACCACAGTCTCTTGGGGATGGGTTTACCATTGGTATTTGTGGTGGAGGACAGCCTCTGGATGAGGAAGGTCACAGGTTTGGTTAGCAGCATCACCAGATAGAGCTCAGAAATTTGTCTGAAATCCTACAGAATTATTGGTCAGCAGCATAGGACAAATTTTACATTGTCCCTGAAATGAAGGTTCAGACAAAGCTGGTGCCAACAAATCTGAGCTGATTGGTTTGATGAACAGAGCTTGCATGAAGGCTAATAAATACAAATTCTGGCGGCTGCTATTAAAATGAATATTGATTTCCAATCTGATGTTAATCTACCCCATTAATTCTTCTTCTTCTTCACATGTGGCTTTTCAGTTCCAAAGTCATCTTTGAGTAGTTCAGTTGACGTTTCTCATGCTTTCTAAAAGGACAACTTTCATGCAGCTAATTGTGGGCGGCAGTGAAACCTAGTTATACAGGTAGTCCTCCACTTACAACAGTTCATTTAGGGACTGTTCAAAATTACAACGGCACTGAAAAAAGTGACTTATGACC